ATCAGAGCTAGATAAGATTTTAACAACTCTGAGCTATTAGTTAAGTTCTCCCCAAGCGAGCTCGATGGGCCGAATGGCCTCCTCTTGTTTGTATATTTCTTATGTTCTTATGTTCAAGGATATTCACCTTCCTGTCCTTAAGCCACTGTGTTGTTGTTTTGGCGGTATGTTTAGGATCATTGTCATGTTGGAAGTTGAATGTTCTACCCATCTACAGAGGGGCAGTGGCTTTCCTCAAGACTTTGGGTGTACTTTGTAGTGTCCATTTTCCCTTCAGTCCTGACGAGACTGAATGTGGCCCTTTTTTGCCACCCTGCCATACAGACCAGCGTTGTGTAAAGCTTGAGAGATTGTTGTCATGCACAGATCGACCAGCTCCAGCCATGAAGCCTCGCTAGTCCTTCAAAGTTGCCTTTGGCTTCTTGGTAGCTTCTCTGATCAGTGTCCTTCTAGCTCGGTCATCCAGTTTGGACGGATAGCTTGATCTAGGCAACGTTTTGGGGGTGTCGTACACCTTCCACTTCTTAATGATGCTCAAGTGCGGGGAAGCAATAAAAAAGGCCAATAGGATGTTGGGTTATATCTCCAGGTGTGTGGAGTTTAAGTCAAGGGAGGTAATGCTAAGATTATACAATTCCTTGGTGAGACCTCACCTAGAATATTGTGTGCAGGTTTAATAGCTAAATGCATTTTATTTTCCAGGGTCTAATGTGACAAAAAGTATAGATTTTCACAGGGTATGACTTTCTATAGGCACTGTATGTGAGCTAAAATTTTTTGTGCTGGGAACAGATGAAACGCAAATGTAAGCATATTTTCTTGATGGACTCAATGCGGGTCTGCTGGGTGGTCGAGCTACTGCAGTGTAAAGCAAAGTTATCAAGCTTGTGGAACTAATACAGTCTAAAAAAGAAATGAGTTATATATTTGTAAGAACGATAAAATGTAACTGCATAGCGTAAATAACTCTGTGGTTTTCAAAATTGTCTTTTGCTTCTTAATGCCAGCAATCTAGTGTAAGTAATACTTGGTCAATAAGGTCAAATGTATCTGGCCCCTGCAGCTGAAATGGTCTAGAACTGCCACTGTCTAGATATGTTATATGTAGCTGCCTTCATAGACTGTCCACATTGTTAACTTTACCATGTTAATGTGTGGATCCAGTTTAGCAGTTTGTTTATTGTATAGCCTATTGTGTACAATAATAAGAACGGTAATTATATAATGTAGACTAGACGTGTTTGCTGCAGACAAACAAATTTGCTGTCTGGGTCCCATAAGTTTTCCTCAAGGTCCTCCCTCAGAATATCCTGCAGCCATAAAATTAGTCTTTTGCCCTCCCTTGGTAGCAAGGAGAACGGAATGTGTGGGTGTGTTTTACTATCGACGGTGCAGGATGCATCACAACACCTTTTAGGCATTCTGAAAACCTCCTGAGTGTCGCCATTCAATTTTACCCCTTTTTCTCCCGAATTAGAGATGCATCTGCCAAAACCACTCCAAACTGACATCACGTTGCTCTGGTTTATGACAGAAGGCGCTGACAATGAGTCCATTACATCACAGCACCTCCCTGCTGTAGTCGTGCACCCCACCCCACCAAACCGTTCATATCCATCCATCCATCTATCTATCTCTACTGCTTTCAGATAGACATGTGTCTTCCATTCACAGAGTATGGTGCGCCAGAGGACGGCGAACTCAAGCAGCAAAAACCATTCGCACTGAAAAATCAGTTACTGAGTAAGTTCCTGCATCCATCCCTGCTTCTTCGGGAGGGACCCCACACATGTAGACCTTCTCCTGTGAATGGCGGAGAGTCGTTTCTCTGTGCTTGCCGTTTGGGCACTCCAAGTGAAGATAAATGAGGTGCGTCTGTCGGTGCGTTCTACACAACTCCATGGCCTGAAACGATCTGTCTATCCTCTGCTCCTAGATATAACTTTCGTTTGTCCTGACATGGCCGACAGGACACCGGTCCAGAAGAAGCTCCCAGGTAGATATGGCAGGCCAGTTGGGGTGCGGGATGACCCAAGGAAATGTGGAAGATTCTGCAAATTACAAGCATCACTTATGCAAATACTGCATTTCCCATAGGCAGAGTACAATGTTAATATTCTCAAGGAACTAGGTGACAAACAGGGTGAAGGACTAAACCAGTATGTGCTCTTTAAGTACTGGGTGGACACGAAACCCTGGGAAGTACAGAAAACAGGCACCAAACACACTGGATTACCCACAATTCTCTCTTTACATTCAAGAATTTAATGTGAATTTGATTGTATTCCCCTCAAACCTCCCAGGAACATTGTATAGGTGATGATCTGGGACCTATTTCAGTTAGAGACAAATGGCACCAAAACTAATGTAGCGTCACTTATGGCGCTTTTCCACTGCATAGTACGGCACAGCACGGTTCAGTACAGCTCACCTTGGTTTGGCTCAGTTTGCATTTCGACTGCAGTTTAGTGCCGCTTTAGAGTGGGCGGGATTATTCACGTGTCGTTATAGTTGCGCCGCCTCTATTGCCGTGACATCATCGTAAATGCGCCACAAACAAACACACAACAATGGAGCATATCGACGGAATGGTGTTCTTCATTTTCGGCATGTGGATGTTTTTAACAGCAAGACCATTTTTAGTTAAAACAAAATGGTGCGTCCGAACCTTCGCTGGCTGTGCTAAAAATCTAGCGGGTCTGTTGTGTCTCGTGTCGCAAGTTCAGTGACGCAGTAATGACGATTTTCTCCGGCCAATCAGTGACCAGTAGAGTTTACACGTCACGTTTTGGTAACGGTTCGGCGCGCTTGGAACCTCGGCTGAGGTGGTACTAAAAAAAGGACCAGGTACCAGGTACTGTTCCCAGTGGAAAACCCCCCAAAAGTGAGCTGAACTGAACCGTGTCGTGCCGTACTATGCAGTGGAAAAGCGCCATTAGTGGTCGTACATGAAAGGCCAGCCACAGACGCAGATCTGGTTAACCGCACCACATCGAGACGAGTCACACAATGTTGGGCGGAGGTAGGGAGAGTGTGTAGGAGGGCTAGAGATTGGAGAGCTTGGGGGGTGTGGGAGGAGTAGGGATTAGGAGGAGGGTCTGTTGGGGTCATTTGGGGAATACATTCAGTTCTGTAGTTGGACTATGTATGGTAATGGTGTGCGGCAATGCCCCTCATGTCTCGATGCCAGACTCCATGACCGTGCAGAAGGTGAAAGGTCTCCTGCACCGGATGCTGAAGGTCACGGGCTCGGAGCTGAGGCTCACATACACCAGTTCAAAGGTAAATCCGCAGGGCACCCAAAACCCCAAATGTCAGGCCATCGCATTAACCTCTGCTCCGTGCTAATGGATTGCCTTAAATAATGCAGGGCTCTTTATGAATTATGGTGCCTCCCTGTCATTAGCATGAAAAGCGTGATGAAATAATAAACAAGCCGTGCCTTTGATGCTCTGGGGCTGCTCGTATGGGCCGGGGGGACCCAAGGCATCACGCGACGCGCCACTAACCAGCAAAGGGTGACTGTGAGCTATTGCCCGTTCCACTGCAGATGGAGGGCAGGGAGATTGAGATCGACAACGACCTGAAACCGCTGCAGTTCTACTCCGTCGAGGACGGGGACACGGTGCTGGTCCGATGGTCCTGATCATCAGACGTCAGGTGTGGGGTGGGAGACGGAACACCTAGGATTGGCTGGTGACCTTGGAGGAAGTTGGGATCCACCCTGTCTGGGAAAGCCTGGCTTCGCTCCATTTAGACTCTAACACAATCGTGACATTTACAGACTGGCAGGATGGACTAATTGTTGCCTGAACGTTTGCTGGACTCCTACCTGCCACGTTCAGGCATTTACAGCCATGCTGGTTGTGAGGGAAAGGGGCGACTTTGTACACAGAGAGACAGCTGATAAAGGACTAGGGGCATGAACAGACAGCGAGCATATTCATAATCCCACGCTCAGTATGCTTGTCGATATTTAAAAGCACACCACCAAGAAGACTTCTGATGTGTGTTTTATTTGACAGCTTACTGAAACTACTGTCTAAATGAAATGTATAATAATTAAATGTCACGTCAGAAATAATGTCTCTTTTTTTATGGGATAGGTTGTTTTGACTTAAATGTGTTGCTACTACTTCAACTGGTGCTTCTCATCCCAGTCCTCAGCGACCCCCCCCCCGTCACTCTACATTATAGCTCTCTCCCAGCTGCCAATACCCCAATATCAGGTATCCGGTGTTCTTGATTGGTTGGGAGCTGGGAGGAAGCAAAAACTTGGATTGCTTAGGGGTGCCCAAGAACCAGACTATGGTTTTGGCAAGCACCAGCATCGTACTTACATAGTTCAAACTACTCAAGTTGCTAACGTAGTTAGCAACTATGCTTTTGGGAAACGCACCCCAGGTCGAGACTGATTTAGACAAACACCTGAGCACCAGTAGTGTGTGTATGCAGTCAATGTCTGTCAGGGACAGCCTGGAAACCATGAAGTAATCTGCAGGAGTGAACTTGGTCCCAGCCCTGGCCATGCCCCCCCACCAGCTTAGTCTAGGTCCCAGGGACACCCACATGGGTCCCCACAGGCCTGCTTTCGCCGCCACAGCAGACGCAGCTCCTCGGCCGTGTGCTGGGGGGAGGACAGCATATCCAGGTAGCAGGCCTGCTCACAGAGCCAGCCCGAGTCCTGCCCAAACAGAGAAAGCGGCGTCACCATCCGCCTCACCACCCAAGGCGTCATGCTGAACCGCTATGTGGGACTCAACGATCGAGGCTGAACCTGATGCTTCTCCGGACAAAGTGCAGCCATCCATATACCCATGCTCACGTCCTCACCCTGAAACGTGGAATGGGCAGAGCATTAAACATGCAGGGCTGCCCTGACACACCCAGGGCCAGCAAATCCAGCCCAAGCTGGTTCAGGTCTGTCTAATCTGTGTAACCTGCAACTAGAGCTGCACGATATCGCACTGCGTGATAATCGTGATTATATGCCACATACGCAATAATCACCAAGGCTTTAAATGAGAGCGTAAACATTTCTCCAGTTGCTGGCTTTTCAGAATTCTTATGTTTATTAAATTTGCTTAGCAGAGTATGCCACATGCTACTTTTGTTATATCATGGAAGCAATAAGCGCTGAAATAGCGTTGAAGAAAGGGACAGCTGGACAGCCAGAACATCTTATAAAAGAGGAGATATTGTGGATTAGTGCTGTCCCAAACGATTATTCTTTAAACTATAATCTAGTGATTGTTTTTTTGATTATTCGACTAGTCTAACAGCTAATTTTTCAATTGATCTGATGATAAATTTATTGATAAGCAATTATTTTCAAGTTAGTTATTTAATAGAACAATTCACCCCTCCCCCCCCCACAAATCTGAAATTTAAATTTATTAAAACATTTCTTAGACACTGGAGCATTATTAACAAAAAAGGCAAATTTTAAGAGATTCAATAGGATTTCTGTGTTAGACTGAAGTTAATAATCACTGCAATAGTTTTTACTTAATTATTTCAGTACACCAATTTGACTTGAAATAGATGCTAAAACATGGAATGATTTCATGACTAGAGAAACATGTTTTTAACAAACACTAGCAAAGGTAGCTTATAGTTAAGCTTACTTCAGTGAGCAAGGAACTATTTAGGCTACAGTGTGTAAGAGTAGTCATAAACAATAATTTGTCTCACTCTTACATGACAGAATAAGTAAACAGAAACCATAAAACGGCTGAAACAGCGTCCTTAGCGTCAGCTACGGTAGAGGTGCAGAAAAGGTATCGTGACTGAAGTATTCCCAAACTTTGGAAGACCGCGTGCGAGCCTTTTTTGCCGTGTGTTTTTCCAGAGGCTCCGGAGCTCTGCTGGTAAGCGCAGTCATGTTGCCTCCTGCGCGTTTTGGCCAGTGCATGCCTTACAAAATAGTGTGGCACTGCTGGCACCGGCGATATTAGACAAAACTATATCGGAATTGAGTCTATACTTGATATAGTGTTAACAATGCCAGCTTATTAGCGGAATAACTGTGTATTGTAAATGAAAACCATGCCGCAGGTCCAATAAATAAAATATTGTTGCTCTCAAGTGGCGAAGAGATCATCGGGTGGACAGTAAAATTCAGTTATTAGCAGACTGTTTTATTGCGCGATACTTAAAAGGACAGCGCTAACGTGCTCCCAAAGGGATAAAGTACTTTCCCTTACAATACGTTTAGCTTTGCACTGCAGTTACAAAACATTTATGTAGTTTTACACAACGCATCGACACTAAAATTCCACGTCGATGCATTTTTATAATCGACATCGTCGATTACGTCAAATAATCGTCCCAGTCCTGTTGTGGATAAACAAGGTTTTTTTTAATTTTTTTTTTTTTTTAAAAAAAGGTACTTAAAGTCCAACACATTTATTAAATATAAGGATATGCCAACTTTATACATATTACTACATTTTGGGCGTCACATATGCTTCGTTAATATTTTAGGCATACTACTGTTCTGCTTATTAAATTATGGATGCAAGTAAACATCTGTGTAGTACCTAAAAGTTGGCAACTAGGACAAATGTTTACACCCGTCATCTGAAGCCCTGGTGATTATCGTGCATGCGTAATATGGTAACGTGCAGCCTTACCCACGCCTGTCATTTTCTAAACTGTAAAATGACTCAATAAGCATGCTACAACAGTATATTAGGGATATATTCATTTTATAATCCCCAAATGAAAAGCCTTCAGTGTGCTACCTGGTAAGCCTTGAGCTTCTCTGCATTGAAAGCCAGCCATTCTACGAGGTCCCTGGAGACGACGTAGCCAGAGCCGCAGGCAAAGGCTGGGTACACTGGGCTAGAGTACTCCAGCTCCTGCCACTTCCCGACCCGGTCCACTGGCCAGTTCTGCCTGAAACTGGAGCCAAGCCCCAAGAAAGGAGGACCACATGATGCAAACACACTGGCGTGTAACTGCAAGAGCACATAGCTAGTAATGTCACTGTGGGCCCTTGAGCAAGGCCCTTAACCCCAATTGTTCCAGCAACAGGTTGAACCAGCTTCCTCAATCATACATCGTTTTGGATAAATGTATATGTAACTGTACACCACCTACAGCTCATACAGTGGCAGTGCAGTGCAGTGCAGGCGGCACTTACTTTCCCCACCAGAAGTTCCTCCTGCCCAGGTGCCGGTCCTTGATTCTCCTCAGCACAGCATCCACATCGATGTAACAGTCATCATCAGTCTTCAGAAGCAGCCTGAAGTCAGCATTTCTCAGTGACCTAACGAGACCAAGACACCAGAGTTGTAATAACCATCATCCTCACTCTAAGCTCGCCAAATTGCCCTCTGAGGATATTGAGATGGGATCCCGAAGTCCTGAAGGTTTTAACATCAATTTACTTCAACCAAGTTGTGGTATCCAGGTTCATGGCAGAACTTGGGAATGGACAAAAATCACCGAAATACCTAACAATATTTTTAAGGATGACATAAAGAGTGTGGCCACCCTTTACCTTCAGAGGAACTTCAGTCTTGGAATGTAGTCATACAAAGTCCTGAACTGTGTTTAGTGGGATACTGGACCATTCTGTACTCAAACTTCTCAATAAAATTTTGGATATGTTCAGATCTCCAGACCGAGGCCACGTTAGACATTTGATTTCATCCAATTGTGCACTCAAGATTTGTTTCAGTAGTTTTTATATAAGTATTACTGAATTACAGTAGACGAACTTTATGATGGAACAATTTTTGTACCTTGGAGTACACTTAGTCCTATAAAATGGCCTCATATTCTTGGCTGTTAGATAACCATGCAGAGCATTCATTGGACCTAATGACTCCCACGAGGTAGCTGCCCACGCCAACAGACGACGGGTTGAAGGCATCCTTTGTTTTTATCCAATCGTTAACAAATCCTGGTGTAGGAAAAAGGGTAAAAGACCACAGTACTTTTCCTCCACTGCTGAGGGATCCAGCTTTTGGTCTCCTTGTATTAGGTTACGTGTTTTGTGTGTCGCATACAGTTTTCAAAAAGCAGCCCTGCCATAATATACAGCTTTGTGAATTTCTGAACATACTGGTCTATTGAGACTGGGTCACAGAAGTGTTGATTCACATTTCTGAGGCTGTTTAGCATTTAGCGACTGTGCTACGCTTCAACTTGCAGCTGCTGTTCCTCTCCACTGATGTTGTCTGTCCACGTTTGGCATGGCCTGTAATGATTTTTGAGATGTCTTCTTGCTACCAATGTACTTGCAGTTCAACTCTTTGTCCTCTCGGGTCTTGGGAAATGCTGATTTATAACTGCGATTTAGTTACTTCTAAGCTAAAGTCCTTTTTCCATGCCGTGCTTCTACAAAATTGTCTACCACTGTTTAGAGTGGTTACTTATTTCTACCATCCATCCATATATCCATCCATCTATCCTTTCATAAAGTGACCTACTAAAGAACGACTTGCTGATTGTACTGAAAAAAAAGTTTCTAGGTTATTGTATATAAAAAAGAAACGAAAAACGAACGAACTATGGCCTCCATGCTTCTGTTCAAAATTCTGCGCATCTTAATGGACTCGTCCATGTTACTGTCATTTGTTCGTGCTATAGATCCATGCCCTGGCTTTTCTCCTGTGAAGGCATATACCCACGACCCCAGCTGAGGGACTTACCACTTGTAGAACTGCAGGACCTTGGATGGGACGTTCCTATAGGTGTCCACCACATTCACAAAAACCAGGTCGCCGTGCCGCTGACTCTCCTGCTCCAGCAGCTCCTCCTCCCGTGCCAGCTGGGCCTCCTGGGTGGTCATCCGGCCGGGCCGCCCCCGCAGCATCTCCGACAGCCCCGCTGTATCTACAAGGGGATCTCAGAGCTTCAACCAAGTCCTGAATCACAGTATGACATAATCACAAAAAAAGGCAACTTCCTTCTTCCCCTGTTGAGTTTCAACATGATTTGCTTTGGCTCAGGTGACTCAAACTGCATACTGGCAAACTGTTATTTACATGGAATGGCCACACATGTCTCGGAATACAACCACAGATGTAGATGTTCAGGGATGCAAGCGTACCGTAGATGGAGAAGGTGAATCCCCCTGCTAATCCAGGGAATCCGCGTGCGTCTCTGTGTGGCAATATGCCATCTGCAACCTGGAGTGCCAGAGACCCCAAATTAACATTGTTTGTCTGGCCATCCATTCATCCATCCATCCACCCCTTTTCCCCAGCACAATCACAGCAAGCCAGGAACCCATGCTGGAGTATCAAATACTTCTCAGTAATTACAACATGGCTTATCTATTTCCATCATGCATTAGTGAATGTGACAATTGGCAATTAAGGAGGAAACACCCTTAGCTTAAAAGATAATGAATTAATCATGAGATAACTGATTCATTAGAAAATTATTAACGCGACCTGTAGCAGATGAATGTGAACTTACGGTGGCTATCTTCAGCACTCCTCCCCCGGTGTCCCAGCACACCTGCGAGACGTTCGCCATCGTCAGATCGGCCGGGTCCAGGGCCTCCCAGAGAAGCGTCCCTTCAAAGCCCTGGAGATGGTGAGGGACGTTCATTATGGCTGCCTCAGATCTCATGGTTCTCAATCACTCTCCACGATGGTGTTTCTCCAGTCACAGTCCTTCAATACTTTATGTTTTCCAATTGTAGTAATTATAACCTCCAGGATGGGTAGCCTAAGCGGGTGAGGGTGTGTTGACCTGGTCGTCATGATATCTGGGCTGTGATGTCCACATGATCAACGTCTCACCTTGGGTAGGATAAACTTCTCCACTGTTTTGTACCACACTCCATTCATGTTTGTCCCAGGGCCATCAGGGCTGAATTGGACACTTATCACTGGCTCCTGTGGACAGGTCATAAAATGTCCATTTATGAAAAATTAACAACTTTTAAATTCAAAATAAAACCTCATCAGTTGGTCCTGAACATACCCGTTGTCTTTATTCTAGCTAAGCTTTTAACGTACAGCATGACAGACTCACCGTACAACTCAGATCTTGACATTTTAGTCAGTTCTGAAAGTTGTTCAGAGATGTATTCATAGTAGAAACAAAATATTTTCTCTTGATTTAATATTTTAAAACCTAAAATGAAACCTGTACAAAAACTCATGAGCCAAAAGTAAAAATTTCAACAACATATAGTGCCTGGTATACACATATTTTGGTCACATTTTCAATTTTCATATTTAATGTAGGCACATACCAGTTATGGTAACTATATTCTTTTTCAGAGCTGATTCAGTCCAATCATGTTGCCAAAATTTCCCCTGTACCAGCAATTCTAATTTATGCTAGATATAAAATGCTATTTAATTCTGCAATAAGTGCATCTACAGCAGTCAGACTGTGATTTACCATAGGATCACTCCAAGTAGGAAGGTCCTTCAGCCCAACACACTCTACCGCTGATTTCCATTTTAACTCATAACTCAGAATTTCTGAGCTTCTAGTCGGAAATTTCAACTGGAACACGCTCTGTAGCTGGAATTCCTACTCAAAAAGTCAGAGGAATCTACACAACCCCAAGCTCAGAGTTCAAAATGGCTGCTCCCTTTATCAAGATAAGTCAAAGCTGTAGTTTTATACTGTTTATTAGCACTTATTTGTGGCTCACTAAATCAGTCGTACACATAGTACTGTCCAATTGCTATCTGTGGACATGCTACTACAGTATTTTTATGCACAAAATACTGCGTAATGTGTTGTTATTAACTGGTATTGCCATGAATGACTAACAATTAACGGGGCTAGAACCAGGGCCTATTTCAGAAAGCAGGATTTCTTGCAATTTAAACTGGGGTAAATTAAATCCGACAAGTTATCAGGCTAAGCCAGAAAACTTGCTTTTTGAAACAGGTCTCTGGTATTGCTAATGGCTTCCCGACCTGCTCAGGTGTGCTGTCACTTCACTTGCAGAAAAATTTTGAAACACACGTGTGTGATTGTATCTTAGAACACACTTGGGCACGATGTCATTCCCAGCTCCGACTTCCAACCTCCGAGGTAAATGGAATGCAGCAAAATCTCCACGAAGAAAGCCCAAACTCCAGCATTTTGCACCTCCAGAGAGATCAGACCTTCTCCAGTGCGCAGGCTCACCTCCTGATCCAGTGGGAAGAGCGTGACTGACAGGTTCCCAGGGAGTCCCCAGTTTGGGCCCCTGGGGAACACCCCTAACTGGGTGATCACGACGGGATGCAGAACCTTGAAGTCGAAGCTGATCACCGGCACATCAGAGGGGCTCAGGACAGGTGCCTGGAGCTTGCTGACAATCTCCACCTCTTGTCCAGCCACTGAAAGTCAACATGAGCATGAATATCAGCCAAGCAGACTCCTGGCGATTACTGATGCAGTGTCAGTGTTTGCTGTGCCCTGGTTATCAATGGTGCCCTCACCTCCCCAAAGACACTTTAAACAGTAAGGGAAGGAGGATTGGGCGTGGAAAAGATGCACCGAACATCTTCAGCTGGACTGAAAAGATCTATGATTTCTAAAAAACTTTTGGGTACCTGGTTTAATTCACAGCAAAGTACTGTGTGAAGCCTACTGCCATTTATCTCTGATGAACCATTTCATTAAATTTCGATCCAAATTGGAGTTTTTGACCACCATGTGTTTTTTGTTTTTAGTTTGGACTACATTTACCATATACAATTACGATTTTGACTGAAATTATTATTATTTTTTAATTTAAGACATTATGTTTATTCCTAAAACCATCATAAACTTGGTACACTTTACAATAAGCTCCCGGGGGATAAAGCTTTTCTGCATTTTACCATGTGCTGCTGGTTCTGTCAGGTTCAGCAGGGTACAGGAGTATGGGTCTTCCTTGTCCTCCTCTGGTATGTGACAGCCATGCCGACCTACAATGAACTTCACCTCCACTCTTCAAGACAACATACAGGACAAAGACAGAAAAAAAAGATTTTGGAAAAATATATCCCCTGTGTGTGCATAACAGTTCTTAGTCATTTTCACTGAATTACAGTCTAAGCATTAAAGCGCACAGGTTATTAGACGGGTACCAAACCTGTGTCTGAAGTAGTGCTGGTCCCGGAGATACCCCATCCAGGTCTCCCTTATCGCCTCCCTGAGATCATAGTGGTGTCGCGCCGAAAGAATCCCCACCAGCACATCGGCCGAAAGCCCACCTGCTGTATTAAACATGTTTGCTTTTTCTTTGCTTACACCAGTAGTCATCTATCATGCAACGCTGTCTCTGCACTACCGGTTAAACGCATGTAACTTAACAGAAACAACATCTGTTAACTATAATAATACAATGAAAAACACGTCGCCAGCAAAAAATACTGAATGTACTATAACATGCGTTTGAGAAATCTTTGTAACAGTACCAAATATTAACCTGAACAGTTATTGTTAAATAATAGTTTTTTTGCGCGCAGTTAATGATCGGAAGTGAAAAGACCAGCACTGCTATCTGTTGTCATGAAAGGCAATACCCGCTAAATTAAAAGTAAAAACAAAATCTTAATTTATAACCCGATGCGATCAGAATACCTGGATCCCTGGAGGACCCACCAGACGGTCTGTACAGTATCAACCAGGCATGGATCAGTATTGCCACAATACACGGACACAACAGCAGCAATACAGCGCTTCTCATTAACAATGATTAAAGGTAAAATTTCAACTTATTCAGGGAGCTAAACAAGTATTCATAGCGGCATAGCTTTACAAAACACAAACCGATCACAAATGTGGGCAGGCCGGCCGCTATATAGCTGCGGCGCCCTTCATGACGCTCTGCTGGTCGCGTTCCTGCGTGTGTCACGCAGCGTATGTGCTGCGCGTCAAGCCTACCGCAATTCTCTTACCTTAAGGCTTACGGTAACGAATTACCGCACATTTTTACCGTTTAAGATATGCCGGAAAACACTGAAGGTGAACCTGATTTATACTCTGAAAAAATGTTTTAACGACCATATCCAAAATGAAGGAAAACGTCCTGTACAATAGCATGAAACTAAGTTCTCATTATTATCAGTGGTAGTAGTAAATATGATACTATTGCACTCATAAATTATGCTGAAACAGATGTATTTCAAAAACATCAACAAAATTCACCACCAATTAATTCATAAAAATCAAAATTCCACCCAAATAACACCACATTAGACCTTTCACTTTATTACATCTAATATTTAGATTTAAATTTATTTGGTGATATAATCTCTGCAGGTATACAGTTGGCAAGATTGTATTTATTCAGTCTTGCCATGTCCCTAGATGATTCTGTTCTTCCTACAGCCCAAACGAATGACAGAAATTTCACAGAAAGCAACAGAATTTCAATTCCTCATTACATTTATTATTTAGACTAGAACAGTGTTTCTCAACCCAGTCCTCAGCGAACCCCAGCCAGTCCACGTTTTTGCTCCCTCCCAGCTCCCAGCCAATCAGGAACACCGAATAGCTGGTACAAGTGCGCTGGGAGCTGAAAGGAAGCAAAAACGTGGACTGGCTGGGGTTCGCTGAGGACTGGGTTGAGAAACACTGGACTAGAAGGATAGTGCCATAGGAAAACATGCAAACCTCCCACAAAGGGCAGGGGTGGGATTCAAGCCCTCAACCCTGGAGGGTGAGGCAAGAGTACCAAGTACTAAGCCACTGTGCTCAGGGCCACAGTAGAGACTTGGATACCCTGGTAGAGACTTGGATACCCTGGTAGATTCAGGGGCCCCAGCACCTTACAGGGGCTCTTGAATATGTAAAATTATTTATAAAAAATTGGGCTGGGGAGCCCAAGGTGACATTTTACCAGGGGGCCCAGAATTTCAAGCTACAGCCCCAATTATGTTACTCACTTAAACAAATGCATTTATGCTAAATTGATTTCTTTCAGCCAAACATCACCAAAATAATTGTTTTCCAATAATAAATACATTATTCATATATCATATGACATAAGAACTATGTTTAATAATTTAAAAAACTTCTGTGAAAATAAAACATCATTCGAGGAAAAAATTAAGGTCAAGAAACATAAATGTATAGCTTTTATTATTTTCCATTTATTTTGTTTAATCAAACAAACAGTAAACAAGCCTGAGATTTTAGCCAAAAGTGTTTTAACATGAATCGCATTTGTCTAAACAGCTATGCTTACTTAACAATACAGTGACAAACTGCCCCTGTCAAACATACATTATAGGAGAAGGAATATATTCAACTTCAACAACTCTATTCACTTTCAGAGAAGAAGGTAGAAACATGCAAGCCAAATTTCAGTTGATAATAAAATGTCACTTTCACCTGTAATTGCACAATTACACTTTACATTTAGGCCCAAGAATCATCTTTCAACTGTCCTCCTGAATGTACATTTTCCCAGTTTCCACCATCCTTACAATGAATTCCTAAGGCAGTGTTTCCCGATCTGGTCCTTGGAGATCCCAAGACAGTCCACATTTTTGCACCCTCCAAACTACCTGCCAATTAGTCCTCAGCAAAAACATGGACTGTCTGGGGGTCCCGAGGACCGAGTTAGGAAACACTGTTCTAAGATATGATCACACATGTGTGTTTCAAACTTTTTCTGCAAGTGAAGTGACAGCAAAACATTTGAATAAACTTTTCTCATTATGAAATGATTAATTTATGACCTTCAGGCTAGGATTTATAATCTATTAAAGGGTTGACATAGTCTAGGTAATATAAATATTTTCACATGCGTTCTTTTTCTGTTACAGCCTCACATACACAAAGCCAAATCATTTATTCTAGTCACTCTCATCTTATAATTCCATGAAAAACCAAAGATGGGCGTAAAACAGGGGGTGGCCAATCTTATCTGTAAAGGGCCGGTGTATATGCAGGTTATTGGGATAAGCTTTAGGTCAGCTGTTCAAACCCAGGTGTGAGGACTCTTCAGCCAATCAGTCCTCTAATTAGTAAACTAATTTGCAACGAAAACCCGAATACCAACGGCCCTTTCTGGAAAAGACCGCCTACCCCTGGTGTAAAGGCTAATCCAGACAGATATTTCGGGGAATCTTTTCATAAAGGAAAATTGCTTCTCATTAAAAACATTGTAATGTGAAGATAGTGAACATCAAAGGACTAGTCACTGTCTTCATTGGATTAAATGCCTCATACTTTGCTACATTCTCTATAGTACAGCTTACAAAACAATTTTAATGTTAATTTTCAATGAGCAGTAGAAATATTACGCATTTCATTTAATACTCTGTGCTCTGCAAAGTAGATCTTTTTTGTAAAAATAACTAGTCTACAAATCCAGCAACATCAACAACAACAACAAAAACTTGAAAATTGTGCTTTTCGGTCAATACAGTGATATAATGGTGCATTAGGTACACCCTATTCACCGTACTTGGCACTCTACATATGATACAATCTACAGTTTCTTTCCAAAGACAGGAGGAGGCTAAGTGATCAGACGAGCATGCATGTTCCTGTCACTGTATATGAGTCTAACAGCACATCATTGCCCAAATGAAGTGTCGGGAATCGTAAAGAGGAAAACAACATAGGAAAATTTGCAAGCAATCGGATGTGGGGGAGGTTTTAAAATGGCTTTATGAAAACATTCTGGGAAGAGCTATCAGATGAGCATGAGAAGAAGGGCCCTTTCATTGCAGGAAATGGTCCAATGCTGTGTATATAGTTTCAATAATCAGTTCATTAATAACGACGGTTATCTAGAAAAATGCATGGGGAAAAAAACCCTCTGCTATTTTGGGCCAGGTGGTTTGAGAAACAATTGTAGACTGAATCTTAATATAGCTTTCCTAGTCAGGGCATTGTGCGAACATAAATACAAGAATATACTGAACATAAGATAATTATAAACATATATGAATAGTAATAAAAGGTCCATTCAACAATAAAGATGAGTTTTCAGTAGCCTATTTAGTATTTAAACAGAGAGATTGAGAAAGGAACAATAAATATTTAGCTAAATCTCTCCTGTACAAGTTGAGGGGCCTATTTGGAAAACTGAATTTTAATTTACACATACATGTAATTGAACCAGTGATAGCTGTATTTCCTGAACAGTACTCAAGCCTGGAGCCCGGAAACAGATACAAAGTTTGAACTTTGTGAATATTGTAATACTCAGATAATGGAATACAAAAGTAGATTTCATAGTAGATGTCACAGATTTCTCACTTTTGTGTTTAGATAATAATAAGTAATTGAAGAAGACTTTAGTAACTCATACATAAAGTATAATCTACCTCTTTTTGAACAAATGAATACAGATCATTTTCTGTTGCATCCAAGGCAGCTGCTGAAATGATGTAAGATGTTCTGCTGCCATTTGTGAACCTGTGTGTGCAGAACCCTCCACTGCAAACATGCGTAATACGAACCAGCACTCAGGAGGCTGGGCTCTCTAGAATGTTAATCTTGTAAACCGGAAAACCAAAAAGCATAAAAAGCTGGATAATAAACTCCGAACAGGGAACAGATCCTGTGCAAAAAATACTGTGACCATAATAACGATAATACAATATGATAATCTGCTATTGTAATGGCATTATATAATTATTGAAATGTAATTACTGAAATTACGCAAAGTAAAATCCTGCCTTTTATACACTGCTGTGATCATGGACAAGAGAGAAAAATATCAAAAGTGTGAATTACGAATAAATGTAGCTAGTGTGATGTTTACTTCCCCTGGATTGTTCATACTGATGTGTATTTCACACACACACTCTCTGGACAGGTGTGAGTGTGATCCTGTAAGGCCAAATGGGTTCCATTTTTGGGTTAGTTGGTTGAGGGTAATCCCAACCAAGGAATCTGGGGATTAGCAAAGATAACGGAATGAGCATGTTTTGAGTGGTGAATCATTTTGTTTTCCTGAGGCCCACGTGATCCAGTAGCTACGGTAAACGAAAGACCTTTCTAGGCAGCTGTTCTCTAATAAAGAAGCGTAAGGATTCAAAAGGAGACACAGAGAGCTACAGAACTCCCTAAAGATGGCTGACAGGAGCCCTCTGGTGACCCGGCCAGAACCACACGCAGTGTCGCGTCTGCCTCTAAACTCCCACTGGTGCCGGTCGACTCCAAGGTGGTGAAGGGTTCGGCAGGGACAGCCTGCCTCTGGGAGCTGGGGGGGGGCAGGCACGGACTTCAGAGGATGGCGCAGAAGAACTTCTTCTCCCGGAAGGGGTTCTCGGAGGCAGGCACCGGCACGATGAGCGGGTCCTCCCGTATGTGGGCGTCGCAGTACGCCATCAGGTCAGCCGCCGCCTTTGACACCTAGGGGATGCGACACGCAGACACACGCACGCGTCATCGTAGGAGGAAACCAACCGCATCCAGACATAACCGATCTGATCCGGATAGAACCAGCCGAAAGCACCTCCAGCAAGGCTCAAGGTTCCACTTTCGAGAAAACAAAGTGAGACTTTAGACCCCGCTAGTGAACAAATAGGTGAAATATCATCCTTACGTCCTTGTCTACCCCCCCCCAACCCCCCCCCCTTTATTTTGAGCTAAGTGTTTTGAGTGCCTGGCAAGACAAGGCATTGGAACTTAGAAGGACACAGGTGGTGTTACGTCTCCAAAGTTTTGGTTTTTTATTTGGGTGGGGGGGGGGGTTAACTGTGAAGGGCTGATGTGTAGATATTATACACAATGGATTCTACATGGAAATTTAAACCAGCCTTAAGGCCCAGCAGCCAAGCACAACTTCACGTTAACAGTTGGGCCACGTCGTGAGAATTGGTGAAGCTATTACTTCGCAGCTGTACTGAATGACTGTCAGT